ACTCTGTCCTCTATGACCCCCACCATCTACTCAAACAAGACTGGATGAAGACCCCACTCTGTCCTCTATGACCCCCACCATCTACTCAAACAAGACTGGATGAAGACCCCACTCTGTCCTCTATGACCCCCACCATCTACTCAAACAAGACTGGATGAAGACCCCACTCTGTCCTCTATGACCCCCACCATCTACTCAAACAAGACTGGATGAAGACCCCACTCTGTCCTCTATGACCCCCACCATCTACTCAAACAAGACTGGATGAAGATATATATAGTGTCAATATAGTGCCCTTGGGTGCCACAGAAGGCCGCTTAAAGCCACGTGTCACATAACCATTTAATAAAAATGGATTAAGATGATCCAAAATGGTGATTATCATAATAAATGGAAGCACATATTTGAAAAGTGTCATGGACCTGTCCAGGGTGTGCCCTGTCTCTTGTATAGTGACTGCTGGACATGGACACCAGCAGGTAAAGCTGGATGGATGGACGGGCCTCTTAGAYCATGTCAGTTTTTTTATTCTTGCACTCTGGAGGTGGTTTTCTCTGATCCCAGACACCCTGGTTGTGCACTGGAAATGATGTCAGTCTGAGAAGGGTCAAATCATTGGCATCAAGCAGAGAAAACACCCAAGGAGATTGCAGAAACTACTAAACTTGTGTTAGGAAGGATAGGAAAATGGGGATGGGCTAAGCCCATATTTCAGAGCGTAGGCCATACAGGAGAGGCCCGTTGCTTCCCCCTGAGTATACTGACTTAGGTAAACCTTTTGGTGCCCTTAATAAAGGATACCAGGTTGCTTAGCTTTAATTTCCTAATCTGGTCCAGCTCCAAAGTAAAGGTACCTGTAAACCTCTGTCTGGGTCTACCCCAAGCTGGACACTGGTCCAAGTAGTGGAGACATCTCAGCTTCCTCCTCACAGGTTGGACATGTACTATACTGCTGGAGTCTCATTACAGTTCTGTGTCTGTTCAAGATGTTGTGACCTGTGAGGGTCTCAACCACTATTCCTATTCTATTATACTTCTGGGCAAGCCAATTAGCTCCCTTGAGAGTCTTGATTTTGGTCCCTCAATGAGCTGCCTTGCCTGCCTGCAGTCACTCAGATGCTGCGATCGTTTGTGGTGCTGCTTCCTGATCCAGTTCTGGAGGGCTTTCTTCTGCAAAGCAGTTGACACCTCTAAAACAGGTTCTGGACCCACAAATGTTTTTGAGCTCCCCAGCTTTGCAAGCCAGTCCGCTCTCTCATTACCTGGAATACCTGTAGGACCAGGTACCCACACTACGACTACACTGTTCATGTTTCCCAGTGTGTTAAGTGCCTGGACACACTCCCACACCAGAGCTGATGCCCAACTGATGCAACCTTGCTGATGTAATGATTGCCTCTCCAACAATGTGGAGGTCCAGAGGGGTTAAGTTCAAAAGTACTTCTAAGGTTGCTGTTGGTGTTGTCCGGAGGGCACTGGTGATACAAAGGCATGCCACTCTCTGGAGATGAGTCAGCGTAACCCTCGCTGCTCCAAGCCCCACTTTAGTCCACCAAACTATCGCAGCGTAACAGCATGGGTCTTATCACCGAGGTGTAGATCCATTTCATCACTTTGGGGCTAACTCCCCATCTTTGTCCAACAACGCGACGGCATTGTAGTAGACTGTAAATGGCCTTATGGCATTTCTCGGTTACGTCTCTTCCAGTTAAGTTTGCTGTCTAAATATACACCAAGGTACTTAACTGACTCAGACAGTATAAGCWCAGGACCACCCAATTTTGGTATAGCTAGACTAAATTTGGTTCTCTTGTTTGTGAAGYGAATCAAAACTGTTTTGTGTGGGTTCACAGTCACAAAACAGTAACWGGAAGAAATGTGGCTGAAAAAATCCTGAATGACCGTGATTGAAGATCACTCAAACGTTTGGTGAAATCAAATCAAAGAAAAACAACAGTAGAACTCCGTGCTACATTTAATAGTGAACGTAAGAGCATTTTCACACACATAGTGTGCATGATAAATACTGTGACACCTGGATTTTCATGGGGTTATGTTCTCAGAGRACCTTGAATCAAGAAAAAACTTGACAATGTGTCACCATACCAATGTTTTCAACGYGTACTCAAACTTGTACAAACTACCTTGATARGAATAAATACCAGTACTAGTATCATATATTCTGGGATAATGGTATTGATACTCAACACAATAACAGTTAGCCCTTCAGTGTTGCTAYCYCTACCACTGCTCTACAAACAATGAGCTCCTGTGGGTCAGAGAACGTCTCATTTGGGTTTACATTTCCAGTTAAAGTTGGTCAGTAGCAGTATTTATCATACTGTATACCTGGTTAATCCAGTCAGATGAGCTGTAGCTCTATAAGGAAGAAGAGATGCTTTGTTCTAAATAAATGTGTTTTTTAAGTCATTGTGTAATGTTTAGCTTCTAACTCAMGAAGTACTTGGTATGGGTACTTGTATGGTAGTTACTCCTACTTTTACACAACTTCTGGAGGTGGTAACTCTTAATGGACCCGTGTTTGTAAACAGAAAGTATTAAGTCTTAATGACAGAGTTACTCGGTGTGTCTGAACTGATCTAATGTTTTAAACAGACACACAAAGACAGCAGCAGAATCTGACAGCGGTAATAAATCCAGCTGTCATCCCAGCTTAGACGCCTGGCTGCTGTTTATGTAAAACTGATGCACACACTCCTGTGTGTGTCACAAACACACTGGAGTTACACAGTGTGTGTTTCTGTCCTGCGTGCAGCGCTGAGTGAGTAAACGACAGTGACAGATTGTCCGTCACATTTTTTAAATGATCCCGCGGCCTGAGGCGGTATGAGCAACGAACGTGTAACATTTCTGCAGAAATCAAGTCGATGCTGATGATAGACACGACTCTTCACAGGCTCCTGACTCCTCAAGGCCAGTTTTTAATGACTGCCGTGTAGACGACGCACGTGTCAGAAGAAAATCTGTTTGTTTTCCACTGGCAGCACATTATTAGCACGATGACAGATCAAGCTGCCGTCAGGATTAACACAAAGAGAGAAAGACTTCAGTAGCTTCTACCCCACTCCTGACACAGGAACATGTCTGACAGTCAATAATCACAGTGCTGTTTTTGTCATCCTGCATGTTTTTATTACTATAATGAGCACAACTTTAGACTTGTTCAGGATTCAAGACAACTACAGGCAGTGCCGTCATGAAAACATATTCATATCTGCTTAATGAGTACTGTTGACAGAACACTGACAGGAATATACAAGTTTTATGACTGACTCCTCTCTTTCAGGTAATTAAAAATCAATACCTTTAGTCTGTGTACATAGTATAACAGCATGAGGTCAATGAGGTGTGGGCCTAAACTGTTTAACTTTGCAACCTGAGTACTGCAAACTTCCTCTATCCAAACCTTTAGCTCGGTTAGGGTTAGGGTTATTTAAAAGTCAGACAAAATGATTTTCTCACATTTTGTCTCTCATAGTTGAGGTCTACCTATGATGTCAGTTACAGGCCTCTCTCAGCTTTTTAAGTGGGAGAACTTGCACAATTGGTGACTGACTAAATACTTATTTTCCCCACTGTATAAGAAACAGATAAAAGCTAGTTTTCTGAAGGTATATGAAAAGTAAAATGTGAAGCTTTATGAATTGTTGTTTGAGTTGCTGATGTGTTCATTTTTGTTTTGTAAATTATGTTTTGCTTGAATATATTCTGAGCATAAAGGGGCAGGCATTATAAAATTAATTTATCTTCTGCTACCTTTCATTTTATTTAGATTTTTGGTTTGTGTATTTTCTTTGTTTTTTATTGTATTTAGTTATTTTTTAATGAAATGAATATAATTTTGAATTAAATTGAATCTGTCTACTTAAAAAAACCAGTCCTTGTTCCTGACTTCTGTGCCAAAACCCGCTTAGTAACAACAAAAAACAAAATCTCTTAAACTTGTGTATTTCTGCTTAAATATTTAACATAAACCAGAAAATACACATTTCTGACGTTACATTAAAGTAGCAAGGGTCATAAATACTGTGGAGGTAAAGTAGAAACATGAATTAATCTTGTGGATTCCCAGCAAACCCTGAGTCTGTTTACATTAGAAGATAAGTTCCATCTGAGCTGTTTAAACAGGAGGGCTCAAAGAAAAGCTCTGAGAAAAGACCCCCAGGACCTCATCAAATATCATAACTGAGCCTGAATTAGAGTCTGCAGACCTCCCATCTACCCTGCCTTCCATCGCAGCAGGCTTTAATTACTCTGTGCTGATAAAGTCTGAAGTTAGAGGAAGACTAACAGCAAGGACAGATGCTGCTGTGCAGCCAGATGTGATCCAGACCACCAGGTCCAGGTTTCATCACCTTTATGATACAGCTGATGTACCAGAAATAAAAGGATTTCACTGGTAAAGACATTAAGATAAAACTATTCCTGATGTGAATCTGTGAGTTTTAAAAGAATGATGGAGMGGAAGTAGGGCAGGTCCTGGATCAGAGTTGCTGCCTTGTTGCAGCATCGTTATCTGAACATCCAAACCCTCCTGAGACCAGAGGGAGTTCTTCAGCTGAAGGAACCTTTTCTCCATCCTGCAGTCTGTCAGACACTGCAGTACTACAGCTGAGCAGGACAACTCTGGTCTTTTAACATAAAGCTGAAACTTAATACGCTGCTTTTGAAAGAAGTACAGAGGAATGTGAGACCATTGTATGAACATATTTAAAAACTACAGGGGTTGGACAATGGAACTGAAACAGCTGGTTTTAGACCACAATCATTACAGCATCGGTTCATCTTGGGAATGACATATCCAAGTCCTGCTCAGTGGTCAGAGGGATTTGAACCATTCTTCTTGCAGGACAGTGTCCAGGTCACTACATGATGCTGGTAGAGGAAAACGTTTCCTGACTCACTCCTTCAAAACACCTCAAAGTGTCTCAATAATCTTCAGATGTGGTGACTGTGCAGGCCATGGGAGATGTTCAACTTCACTTTCATGTTCATCAAACCAATCTTTCACCAGTCTTGATGTGTGTARTGTTGTCATCCTGATACATGGCACCACCTTCAGGATACAATGTTTGAACCATTGGATGCACATGGTCCTCCAGAGTGGTTCGGTAGTCCTTGGCAGTGACGTGTCCATCTAGCACAAATATTGGGTCAAGGGAATGCCATCATTATACAGCTGCCCAAACCATCACTGATCCACCCCCATGCTTCACTCTGGGCATGCAACAGTCTGGGTGGTKCACTTCTTTGGGGCTTCTCCACACTGTAACTCTACTGGATGTGGYGAAAACAGTAAAGGTGGACTCATCAGAGAACAATACATGTTTCACATTGTCCACAGCTTAAGATTTGTGCTCCTTGCACCATTGAAACCAACGTTTGGCACGGTGACCAAAGGTTTGGTTATAACAGCCCGGCCGTGTACATTGACCCTGTGGAGCTCCTGATGGACAGTTCAGGTGGAAACAGGAGAGTTGAGGTGACATTTAATTCTGCTGTGGTTTTGTTTTTTGGATACAACCCAGGTTAGCACCTGAACATCCTTTCAGACAGCTTCCTGTTGCGTCCACAGTTAATCCTGTTGGATGTGGTTGGTCCTTCTTGGTGGTATGCTGACATTACTCTGGATACRGTGGCTCTTGATACARCACAAAGACTTGCTGTCTTSGTCACAGATGCTCCAGCAAGACGTGCACCAACAATTTGTCCTCTTTTGAACTCTGYTATGTCACCATAATGTTGTGTGCATTGTAATATTTAGATCGAAACTGTGCTCTTACCCTGCTAACTGAACCTTCACACTCTGCTCTTACTGGTGCAATGTGCAGTTAATGAAGATTAACCACCAGGCTGGTCCAGTTTAACCATGAAACCTCCCACACTAAAATGACAGCTGTTCCAGTTTCACTGTCTAAGCACTGTACATTTTCAGAAAACAAAGAATGCTTTCTCTAAATGTTCTTGGCCTTTTCCAAAATCCCACTTAGATACCTGAAATTACGGTTTAAATTGACAACTTGTAAGTAGAACGTGTAACTTGTAAGTTCTGATGTACATAGTAGGACATCAACATGTTCTCCTGGGTGGGTAGACACTTTCTGACCAGCTGAGTTGGTCTTTGGCCTCTCTGCTGTCAGTAAAGTAAGGAGSTTTGAMTTGGGTCTGATSTTGAAGGTGTGTCTGTGTTTATAAACTGCCTTCAGTTCAAKCYTTAGCTGAACATCAGGTGAGAGTGTTCTCCTGTTCTGAGACAGTCCAGTACCTTCTGAGGACAGGCCGGGGGGCTGAACCTGCTGGCACACACCAGGAAGGAGTCCGGCTCAGGTTTTCCATTCTTCACCTCGGGGTCGTCCCCCAGGACAACGTGGTCAAACAGACCGAAGAAGTCRCTGTGGGCCAGGGTCTTCAGCTGGAAGGTCTGAGTGGCTGAGCTGGTGGCCACCGCAGAGGGGACACCATGCTTCTTCAGGTGGTGGACAAGTCTGTCCACTCCTGAGGACAGGATGGACAAAGATCGTGTTAATAAGACACTACAGATAATAATGATATGGACAACTGTCCTCCTCTGGACATGTCCAAACCAATATACCCACTGTCCTCCTCTGGACATGTCCAAACCAATATACCCACTGTCCATACCCACTGTCCCTCCTCTGGACATGTCCAAACCAATATACCCACTGTCC